TCGTTATTGAACCGTACAATAAACTACGACACCATCATTTTCTTTGCCAACTGACCTTGACTGGCAACACTGTACCGCCAACCAAATAAAGAGAACAGCATCACATGAAACCCTCGCAAATTTCGGATCTGTCACATCGCATACGGGAACGAATCTGGTGTCAATACGCTCACGCTCACTGTGGTGATTGAGGAGTCAGCACGCATTCAACACAACACTCAATTTCAGTACATGTATGACTCAGAAGATGTGTGCATCAGTGTGCTTGCATGTGGGCTTACGTGTGTGTATCATAAGATAGGGGACGCAGTAGCAAATAGCTTCATGAGCAAAAGAATAACTCATGTTTGACGGGAAATTCTGACTTTAGTTGGATGTCAACCGAACGAAGGCACGACACACACATCCTTCTCTGGACAACACGCATTGATCTCATGCGTACGCAAATACGGGTTATAGATAAGTAAGTAACTCATAATGTTCGCTAAATCAAGTTAAGTCAGTCAAAGTCTCCGGTAGATTTATGCACCTGGATGGGTGAATTTTCAGCATTTACACCATATTTTTGGATTCAAATTTTCAAAATCATTACATAATGAAACTGAAAGCAGTAGACTATATTTGTCAATGAGACAAGCATTTGCACAATTCTGTGGAAATTTTCTCCTTCTCAATAAGTCGACGTGCGAGATATGGCAGAACAGAATTACGATAAGTAGAGGTACGTGCAAATAAAATTTTAAATCTTGAGTACATGGATGACGCTTTGAAATTCTGAAGCCTTTTTAGGAGTGGATGTTTTGCAACCTAAAACAACATCATTTGCGTATTTACAGCCAATGAATGCAGGAGGAATGGGAAATTGTTTGACATACATTGAAAAGAAAAATGGAGAAAATATTACACCTTGCAGAACATCAGAACACCAGAAGCAACTGGGCGAGTGGAGGAGATTTCTCCGTTGAGGCACGTAAACTGCCTTTTATTTATGAAGTAATCTCGGATCAGTCTACTGACGTTTGGATTCAAAACACTTTCGGTAATCAGGCTGGGCAATACCGATTGATCAAGACTGCCGAAAGCCTTTTTGCAGTCTAAGAACATCATTCTGACGATTTTACTTTTCTTATATATTTTCCTTATCAAGTGCCGAAATTATTGAATGAAAAAGGTATGCAACGGCATCAAGTGTTGAGCACGAAGAGTGATATGCAAATTGATGTATGTCGTCTTCCTCATATTCAGTGACAACCCACGGTAACAAGCATTTCTCAAGTAATTTGAACATGACTGATGTGCAGGCGGTGGATGATACTTCCCAGGTTCCCTTATTGTAACGGGAGTTATCTCGGTCAGTCTCCAAATATCAGGAATTTTTCCGCTTATCAGACAGTCATTGGATATTTTAGACAATGGGGTTGAAAGAGTGTCCGCACATACCTTGAGTATCACGGGTGATAGTTCATCTGGGCCAGGTGCTTTATTCAACTTTGTTTTCAGTAGCTGTTGAAGGACTGTGGCGGGTTCGATAGTTGGTGTTGGCGGAAAGCTGACTAAACCTGACANCTGGGCTAAACTCGGAATTTAGTCCTTCAACGTCGACAGTTTTCTTTTTGTGTTTATTGCTACTGCCATGAAGTCGGTTGATAGCCCTCCCCATGCCACGACAACTAGAGTTTCCCAGGATAGTGGCTATGTACAATTTGTTCAGCTGATTTATTTCAGCTTTGAACGAAACCGTAAGCCGCTTGACATAGATTCTTTGTCCTTGTTTATAGGCTTG